GGAAGAGGGGGAAACGAAGCAGAGGTGTCAATGAAGCGAACATCAGATACCTCACCACACATTGAAGCCAAGCCAGACAGCACGGGCCATCAAGATATAGCGCACAGCCCACAGTTCCTCTACAAAACAAACATCGTGTGGCGTAGGGATCAACAACAATGGATCCTGGCTTTTCTCAAACAAACAAACAAACAAACAAACAAACTTGTACAATTATGGCGTACCAACTGGAGGAACTTGCCACTTTCCGCCTTTCGGAAACCAAGCCCTGCACCGAGGGTTTGATCTTTGTTGAGAACCTTGCCACCTTTGCCGATCAAGGCATCGAGAGGGCTGCATCCCTACAGGACGCCGAAAGGCTCACCTGTCAGACCAGACACATGTGACATTTGCGTATCCAACGTTTGCCAACCGCGTGCATGACTCATTATTTGCTGCATGGAGCATCACATTGGCAAGCCCGAGCTTCCAGGCACCCATGACTACAGGACACAATGTTGGAGCAAAGTATAGAGAGTGAGGGTTGAGTATCGAGATCAAAGTGTGCTGGGCAACCACAACTGCAACACGCACACACAAGTCTTAGCAGCAGTACATCACACGCAGCGAAGTTACAGCCATGTTCGCAGGTGGGGCCAGGCACCATGGACCCATATAGCTTACAGCAAGCGTTCCCCACCGAAGTTTAAGCCCAACAAGTGTCCGTTCGTGCCGATTGTCAAAATGATGCACTCCTTCTTGTAGCAGCTGGCATTAATCTACATTCGGAGCAATTTGCTGGTGTAAAACAATTTCAAGTCACGTAGGGTCCGTCTATTTTCACGTACCGCTGCCTTGAAGCCGGCCAAACTGTCTACCTCGCCCACATAAGCCTCCAGCTTGCCCACACTGCAGTAGCCACTCTCCCGACAGGGCCAGTCGCCATCGTTCTCAGATGACTTGGCATCGCTGGGGCTGGCACTGCCAGCCGCTGTGGCGCCGCTGCGGGCCAGGGCGGACGCTGCCGAGATGTACTGCAACGCGGTGTTCGTGAGGCGCTGGGACGGAGAGCGCGCCAAGCCGGTGCTGGGCACCACCACCACCAGGGTGGCAATCAGCATAAACGCCGCCACAGGGATCACAAGGTTGCGCTGCCAACCGGTGGGGGTGTCGTTGGCCAGCTTGAAGCGCCGCCGGGCGTGCTGGGGTGCGGCAGGGCCGCGAACCTCAATTTCCATGCCGCCCTCCTACGCTGCTCACACTGGATGCTGTTTGCCGAGGATGCCGCTCGTTTCACGAATTCGCAGAGAGGCAGCCAGTTCTTCAGGGCTGCCTCCCTAAATGGAGATCGACGTGCTAAAAGCAGCTATGGGATCACCCACTGTTCTTTGTGCACAAAGCACACAATCAATTTCTCAAGATAACGGTGGCTCAGGTTGAGCTGCTTCAGGCCTGCAGCAGCGGCGTTCCTGCCGGATCCTCCTTACTGTTTATACTGATACAAACGTAATACGAAAACGAACGATTTCAGGAAAATGTGATTTCGCCCGGTACTGCTGCTTTTACAGGCCGCGCGATATTCGTGTGCTATTAATTTAGAATTTATATCTGACTGCACCCCAGGTCACCGTCCCGGAGAAAGCAGGCTGGAGGGGGCCTGGTACCCAGGTTTGGGCACACCTCGTACATTGCTCCCGCACACCACTTCTCACACATGTAAGCTGTCGTCTGAGGCACTCAGCCCTCCCGCCCACCCGCTGAGCCGCCCGCCCGACACCTGCCAGCGGCGGCCATCCCGGCGGGCGCTGGTGCGCCCTCTAGCGGGCGTTTGGGGCGAAACGCCACGACAGATTTGTGGAGAACACAGTATAGGTCAGTTGGAGAATCGCAGCCAGGGCCGCGGTGCAGCAGGGGCGCCAAAACTATGGCTGCCGTGGGTCTGGGTGCGAGCGGCAGGTGCCCGCCCCGCCTCCTGGGCCCACGGCAGCCCAATCGCCACGACAGTTTTGGCAACGACAGTTTTGCGCTCCTTAGTGGCTGGAGCGGTTAGGAGCCGGCAGCGGCGAGCATGCGCGAGCAGGCTCGCCGACATCGTGTCTGCCGCATTGTGCAGTGTCGAGATTTGCCTCCTGTGCTGCCTGTGGCCCGCCTGGGCACCTGCGCCAGCCACGGCATTCACCAAATCGCTGCCTGACGTGCGCCGCAGGGTCGCTGGAGGCGCCGGGCGCTGGCCGCCTGGCAGCGGCGGCAGGAGCAGCGGCAGTGCGGCTGTAGCAACTACTGCAGCAGTGATGGCCAAGGTGAAGCAGCAGGGGGAGCAGCGGAAGCGGTGCACAGCCGACAAGCAACGGCGGTAGCGGTTGAATGCTAGCGAAGGGCAGCAGGCCGTGGCGGGGGCGGTGGAGGCGGCGTGCGAGCTGCAGCGCCCGCCCCAGCCTGCGCTGCCAGAGTCAGAGGGGCAGGCCTGCGCGCAGCAGCTCCGGGAGTGTGCAGAGCAGCATGCGCGCGTCAGGGCGCAGGAAACAGAGATGACGGCGCCAGCAGAGGAAGCAGTTGTTGAGTGCCATGCACGTAGCGCCCGCCCTGCCAACAGCCGCCCTACCGAAGCAGCAGGCGCCTGGCTCGTAGGCGGCCAGTTCGCCATGCGTGCTGCAGCGCCAGGCCAGCAGCTCCAGCACGGAGAGCAACCTGCAGCCCGACTAGGAGCCTTCAGCTGTGGGCAGCCAACACCCAGAACTTCCCATACCCTTGCCGTTCGGCGCCGGCGGCAGTGGCGGCAGTGGTCAGCAACTCACGGCAGCTAGGCCAAGGCTGCTGCTGAGCTGCTGTCAGGCGCTGCAGTTGCAACCTGGTGGTTGGGCGTCCCGCTGCTGGCGTGGCTGTGGCAGCCGCCATGGATGCAGCGGACGGGGAGCAGCAGCCAGCGGCCCTGGCGGGCAGGGCTGTGCTGGCCATGCCGAGCCCTGATCAAAAGCGGCGCAGCGAGCGTGGCAGGAGCATGCAGCTGAGGGGCAGATGAAGCTGGCACTCGCTGCTGCTGGTGAGTGATGCTGCCCCTTCCGCCGCAGGCTGATGGCGCTGCTGCTGCCAGCGCAGAGCAGAGGGAGCAGCCCTCGCGTGCTGTCGCTCTTGCTATTGCTTCCACCGGCCGTTGTCATGTGCAGGAAATTACGAGGAGGCGGGGCTGCTGGATGCGGTGGTGGCTGCAGAGCAGCGGCGCAATCGGCAAAGCGGCGCGCCGGGGTGCAGCCGTGAAGATGCCAGGCGTATGGCGGCGCCACAGGCAGCACAGCCAGCAGAACCAGCTCAACATCATCCCCCGTCCACCAACAAGCACCAGCCCCGTGGCTGAGGCGGTTTCGGCCAGGTAGCGGCGCTGGCTGGCCTGGCATGCCCCTAGTTCTCTCCCAGCATTGCGGCGCATGCGTTGCATTTGATTCGGTGCATCTGATTTGAGTGGTCAAACCCCTAACAATAGCATTTAGGCCCCCGGAAGGTGACAGGAAGTTTGGGGATTGGCGGCAGTAGGGGAGGAGACCAAGGAGGTGGTGGGCCAGCTCATGCAGATTACACACACCCCTGCACCCTATGCACCTGGATTTCGCTTCCTGCTGCCCTCGCCTTCAGCCCGCGGCTGCAGTACGGCAGCAGCAACGCTGCTGGCAGCCATGCCCGGCGGGCCGAAGGTGGCAGCCTGCCGCCGTCGGCCGCTGCTTGAAGCCGCGCCATGCGCGCCTGCTCCTCACCCTGGTCATGCTCAAGATCCTCCCCATCATACTGCTCCCCGTGTGACTGCCCCAGCTGGGAATCAGGGTCGTCGTCCTGGCGCTGCGCAGCTGCCTCTGCAGGCAGGGCGGGTTGACAGCAGGGCGGCCGCCGCCGCCCTTTGGGCGCCTGCTACGGCGCGCAGCGGCGGCCTCATATTCCGTCCTATGGGGTCGTTTAGAGCGCGCTGGGCCGCCCAGATCGCCAGTCAAAGCTTCCGGAACGGGCCCCGGAAGGCGGGGTGCCGAGTCGCTGCTGCGGGCCTCTGGCCGGCTTAAAATGGCTTGTTGATACTTGCATTGACGGATTCTATCGAGCAATGGATGAAAGAGGCGGGATTTAGGGGGGCACATTTGGCTTCCAGCTGGAGGGTGACCTGGGGTGCAGTCAGATTATAGGGGCCGCTCACATATCATCGTCCCAATCCCTTCATCCGTGAGCAGCTCCATCAGCAGCGAGTGCGGCTGGCGGCCGTCGATGATGTGGGTGGCGCTGACGCCCTGGGACAGCGACCGGATGCAGCAGTCCACCTGCAAGGGGCGCATGCAGCAACACATTGGGCTCGGGCACACTAGGCCCACAGGAGATGTCTGTCGTGATTCTCCATTCGTGAGAACCTCCCACCTTTGGAATCATGCCGCCCGCGATGATGCCCTGATCCTCCAGCTCCTTGCACTCCCGGATGGTCAGCGCAGCAAACTTTGTGGAGGGGTCGTCCTTGTCCCGCATCACGCCTGGCACGTCGGTCATCAGGATCAGCTTCTCAGCGCGCAGCGATGCCGCAATCTGCAGGCAAGGCAGGGCATAGCTACAAATGATGCCAGCGAGAGCAACAAGGTTGAAACTACGCCAACAGTTGCCGAAGGCATGCGGGTCTAAAGATGCCCTCTGTGCAACGCTCACCTCGCCCGCTGCCGTGTCTGCGTTCACATTCAGGCCCTGCCCTTTGCCGTCTGACGCCACAGAGGCCACCACCGGTATGTAGCCATCGGCAACAAGTGTCTGCATCCCAGCGCCAAACACAACCTTAATCCAGGGAAGTGTAGGGAGCTGTCCATGTAGCCACACGCTACTCAACCAACCATCCGGCCCTGCACACCCCGGCCACCCACCTGGAGGAGCGAGGGGTTGACGGAGGTGACCTCTCCCACAAACCCAATGTCCTTCTCCACCATCTGGCGCGCACGGATGATGTCCGAATCCTTGCCGCACAGCCCCACTGCGGCGCCCCCTGATTGCTGGATCAGGCTGACCAGGCTCTTGTTCACGCGCCCGCCCAGCACCATCTCCACCACGTCCATGGTGGCGGCTGCGCACAAGGGTGCAGGCACATGGCGGGCCCAGGGGTGGAGTCAATGGCGGAACAGGTGTGTCGGCTGTCGTCAACAACAACCATGGATGGGCTGGGCACACCGTCGGTTACACGCAGGCCGTTCTTGAACTGCGCCTCGATGCCCAGTTTATTGAGCCAGGAGTTGATCTCGGGTCCACCGCCGTGCACCATCACGGGGTGGATGCCCACACACGAAAGCAGCACCAGGTCGGACACAACCCGCGCCTGCAGCAGCAAGGTAGGGCAGCCCCCGTCGCAGGAGCAGCATGCAGTCGCCAGCCCCAAATCCCTGCCTGCATCCCTTCCACTCCACCTTGAGGCTCTCGTCCTTCATGGCTGCCCCGCCATACTTGATGACGATGGTCTTGCCGCGGAAGCGCTGCAGGTATGGCAGCGCCTCTGACAGCACCGACACGCGGTCAAATGCGCTGAACCGGTCCAGCGCCTGCGCAGGGCGGGTACGGGTTGGCTCTGTGGCAGCCAGCCGAGGAAAGAAGTTAATCAAGCGCAGAACAGGCGTCCACCTTGGAGGCTTGCGGCGCCGCTGCTGCGGCAGTCACCGCCAGGTGGGCTGGCCGCCTTGGGGCGCGGCTAGGCCGGCTGACGCAGATCTGGTGCGGGGCGGCGCTTTTGATGCTGCTCGACAACGATAGACGCTGGCTAGGGCAGGGCACCATTGCCATCTCGCTCCTGGCCGGTGCGGCCTCTGTTTCCTGCACGAATCCCTTGACTAGTAAATGGCGGCAACCCGATCGTGTTTCTGGAAACCGTGGCCTCTTGTACTGCGGCAGCCGGGAGGCAAGTCTGGATGTCGTGTGTTCTCAGCTGAATTTCAGGTGGTTGCCTGGCCCTGAATGGAGGGTTTGAGCGCGCTGCGGATAGGTGCGCACGCAGTATCGGGTGTTTTGTTTAGGGCTCAACCTCGCTAGCGATCGCGGTCGGGCACTTTGCGATTGATGATGCCCTCTAAGCACACTCCAGTGGCGTCCCTTCCGCCCTTTTGTTGCCTTTCCCCGCCGCCGACCCTCACTCCGATTCCTGAAAAAAACTGCAGAGCTGTATGAGGAGCTGCAGGGACTGCCCAATGCGTTGCGAAGCGACTTCCCCGACCTGGCGGTGGACTTTCTGGCCACCGCTTTCAGGCCTTCCTCCGCCGCCGCCGCTGCAGCGACTCAGAGGTGCGAGGTGGCAGGTCGCCCCGGCAAAGGTCGCCCCTTGTCGGCCGGCATTTTGACTGCCCTGCAGCTCCTATGTCTGCAGTTTAACATGCCCACCAGCAGCAGCAGCCCTACAACCGGCGTTGGCACTGCCGCCTTTCCAGCTGGTGGGCCCCTCTCCTGTTGCCGAGATGCCGTCAGTGCATCCCAATGGCGGCTTGCCTCCCAGCGACAGCTTAATGAGCATGCAATCCGCGCTGAGTGCGATCCAGCTAGAGGCAGCTGTCATAGACGGCACAGCCGCTCAGGCACCTGCGAGTGGCTGGGGCAGCCTCGCACTGCCTGCGCAGAAAGCGCCTGCTGCACAGCAGCAGCAGCAATCGGCAGGCGGCCGCCACGCCTGCATGCCCAACGACACGCTATCCACGCCACCTGGGCTTGCACTCCTGGTTGAGTGTAGGCGCTGCCGTAAAGTGCTGCTCGCATGCTCCGCGCTGCACCACCAGTGGCAATGCAACCAGCAGCCGGAGTTGGCCATGCCGGCTGAGACGAGCGCCAGCCAATCAGAAGCCCACAGCAGCAGCAGCGACGGCGTGCCCGCCATCCCTAGCGCCAGCAGGGGCAGCAAGCGCAGGTGGACATCAGAACACGGTGTTGCGGCAACAATGGGCAACGCCCCCATCAAGCTTAGTCGGCTATCTAAGGGTGGCGGCAGCAGCTTGAGGGCAGAGTCGGCAGAGGCCTCGCCCAGCATGGGTGAGTCTGTGGCAGGTAGTTGTTTCCAGTGCTGCAGCATTGTAGCTGCGCTCAATGTGCCAGAAATTAGCCGCTCGTGGTTTGTTGCAGGCGAAGTGGTGGAAGGAGGGTGGTGGCTACCCGAGGAGTTGCACTCCCAGCCTGTTCCAGTGGCAGTTGCAGCGGAAATGCCTGCCATGGATCACCTCCCGAGCCCAAATATCCACCTCACAATGCAGCAGCGGCGGCGGCGGTCGCAGCACCCACCACGCATGCGGCGCCGCTACTTGCACACGCACCCTGGACGAGACCTGCCGGAGCCGCTGTTGCTGAATGCGGTGGCTAGACCGGCGACCGGCGGTGACCATCCGGCTGGGCCAGGCCCGGCAGGACCGCTCGCGCCAGCAATTGCAGGCAGCAGCAGCAGCAGCCCCCACAAGATGCCCCCGCAGTACCTTGTTATGCCTGCGCCTGCAGCACCTACTGCGGTCCCACTATCGGCCACAGATCTGCCGCTGCTGCGGACCAGCATTCCTGGCCCATCGTTGACGCCGCCAACCCAATCACTGCCGAGCACGACAGCAGGCCAATGCCAACAGAGGCAACCGATGCTGCAGTCAAAGTACCAAGACCAGTGCCGCATATTTCAGTCGCTTCTGCCAGAGCAACAGCATCGCATCAAGCAGCTACAACGACAGCGGGCTCAGCGGCAACTGTCATCTCCTCCTCCTCAGCAGCAGCAGCCTGGGGCAGGAATGGTTGCCCAGGCTCATGCCAGCCACCTGCCAGGGCAGGCAGGGCAGCCGGCGAGGCCTGGTGCTCTGGCACCGCTGCAGCAACTCCAGCTGCTCCACCTGAAGCAGCCTCATCTGCAACAGCAGCAGCAAACGGTGCCCACGACGGCAGCCATGGGCCCCTCGAGGCATCCCCTTGCCCAGGCTGATTTCCAGCAGCATGCCACCCTTCCAGTCCGCAGAAGAGCAGTACAGCCGCAGCACGGCCTCTCAGCCGCGCTGGGTGTTACCAATGCCAGGCCAGGGAGCTCGCCAGCACCCGCATTGTTTCCTTTTCCGGTGCAGTTCCGCGGCCCTATACCTCTGCAATTCCAGCAGCAGCAATGGCCTGGCATGCCATATCAGCAGCAGCAGTTGCGCCAGCAGGCAGCTTTCTGTGGCAGCAGCTGGCTGATGCCTCAGCCACTTCCAGTGCATGGCTCAGCTGTGGAGGGAATCCCCATGGTCGCAGGCAGCGTGTTGGCATCCTTCTCTGACAGCAGCTTGATGCCCATGGCTGTCCCCATGCCACAGCAGCAGCCACCACAGCCATTTCACCTGCCTGACTACCCAGTGCCGGCAGTGTCAGGCACAATTGTTGCGGGCGAGCCGGTGGCCATGAGCTCACCAGGTCCGACAGATGATGCCCACCCTGCCGCCC